TTATTTGTTGAAGAGATCTCTTAGATATGTTGGATTAAAAGAATATTAATTTCACCAGTTTCATGTTATTTTTTATAATATGACGACTAGAAAGTGTTAAATTAGGTTCTGTGACTTGTATTACCTTTCCATAGGACAGCACTGGTTTAGAGAATACCCACAGATGATTAAGCCAGAATTGCCTGTTACATAAAGGTCACCTAGTCTTTCAACTTCTTTTTCAACCTGTTGTAATCTAGCCTTTTCTCCCCTGGTCTTGCTAAAAATCATTTCTTCAGAAGCCTTTCAGACTTTGGTTATTTGGTACATTCAGTGGCTTTTTCTTGGTCCTCATTCTTCCCCGCGTCCCTTCCGATGCTCGCTCCTTCCTTCCTTCCTTCCTTCCTTCCTTCCTTCCTTCCTTCCTTCCTTCCTTCCTTCCTCCCTCCCTCCCTCCCTCCCTCCCTCCCTCCCTCCCTTCCTTCCTTCCACACGATGCCTATGTTCTCGGCCTCCCCTTCAGATGGCTCTTCCCGAGTGCCCTCCTCACTCGCGTTGCCGCTTCCTGGATGTGGTTATCAGCCAGAACTCATCTTGGCCACTTCTCTTCCTGCCCATATTCTCTTCCTCTCGTTTACTTCCATGGTTTTAGTTTTGCCTCTGTGCCCTTGCCTTCTAAAGCAGTATCCTCAGCCCTGTGTCCTCTCCGGACCGGATTCCCAGCTGTGCTGGGTGCTTCTGCGGGCCCCTCCGATTCTGGGAAGCAGAGCTGAACCAGCGGCGCCCTCTTGCTGACCCGACCGTGTTAGTCGGCGAATAAGCACCTTAGCGTTCCTGCTCCTGCACAAGTCACGATGGACTGTGCTCTTTGCCACTGTAATGAGTAAAGTTTCTTCTGTGTTTTTTCATTCCGTGCTTCTTCCTGTCTCCCTCACGCGCTCTCCCCCGTTCAAGACTTTAAAAATAGGATAAAGGCACCTTCTTCAGAGACATTCTTGTATTTGACCCCACTCGGCACGCGTCCCGCCCTGTACTGGCTCACCTGTGCACTTCGGCCTGTGGCCTTTGCTGTTCCCGGAACGTCCTCTTGCCTTCCCCTGTGGTCTGCCTCCTGCCAGTTCTTCCAGAACAGCCCGGAAAGCCCGGACTGAGTCTTGAGCTTCCACCCCTTTGTGCCTGCCACCACACTTGTCCCCGTCACCTTTGTGCTGTTCCCCAGTGTGCAGTCCCTCCGCTAGGAGCTCGCCTTTGCCTTGGGCAGCGTCTTTCCTCTCTCTGGGATGCTCCCTGTCTACCCCACTCCCCAAAGTATTTGCCGTGACTGCTCCTTCTCAGCATTGCCTTCTCCCCAAATACGGTCTTCTCCGAGACACCTCCCCCGACTGCGCAGAAGAGAACGTGCATATGCACACAGACGCACCCGGCAGGTACTGTCACCGCTACCCCACTCTGAGGTCTCCTGGGTGCTTAAAACTACCTGAGGTATCATTGCTTCCTTATACTTGTTTGTCCCCATTAGAACACAAGGCTCCAAAAGAACAGGGAACTCCTGTCTTTCCTGTTACTTTTCCAGTAGGCAGTCCATAAAATTTTTTTAATAAATGACAAAATCCTTTTTCTCCTTCAGCGTCTGCTCACTTACCTCCTGTGTAATTCTCCAAGGCTAAATTTTCCCTCTTACTTATTTATTGCCTGAACACTTTGTCTATGACGGCACTTAAAATGCACAGCAGAGTTAGTCAAGCCTGATATAAGTGCTTCTGTTTTCTCTTCTGACAGCGATCTCTCTGTCCGTAGGGACTTGTTATTGCTCATATTTATAGTGCCTCCATTCCTGACACAAAATAGATGCCCTTCAGATTTTTTTTATAGTCAGTCACATTTTTTCCTTTCATTCAAACAGCAAATAACGTGTGCCTCGTGTGTGCTGGCACCGACCCTGGCGCTATCACAGTGACCAGTACGGTGGCTCGTGGAGCTGTGGATTCATCCTCTGCTTCTGAATCCAGACTTTGAATAATCTACAAGTAATTTCTGAGAAGGGCAGGATGGACGGTTGGGTCAACATTGAGCCCCTTGTAAAAGAAAGGGACCATCTGGACCTCAACTCCTTTTTCATATTACAGCTCTTCACTGTTGAACATTGTTAGAATCTGCTTCACTGCCATCCTGGGTCTTCTCAGCAAGTTGACACCAGGCAAAGAAGAACAGGGAAAAAGTATACAAAGATACTTCTGTGCGAGAGAGCATGGCAAGTAGGAGAGACGGAACAGTGTCCATTGAGACTTGCTGTCCCTGGGCCAAAGGGAACGGGTTTATGATGAGGCTGGAGAGCTAGGCAGGAGCTCCAGCTAGCAGGGGTTTTATAGCACATTTGGAAGTTAAAAACAATGGGAAGCTACTGAAGGGTTTAGGCAGGGGCATGACAGATCAGGTTTATAGAGTGCAAAAGATCTTTCTGGCTAAGTATGGGTAAAATAGATCCTGGCAAACCACTAAAGAGTCTGTTGCAATTAAGCAAAACTTGATGGTAGCTTAAATGAGTGTTCTGTAGTTGGAGAGAAATAAGTAAAGTTTAGAAGTGCTTAAATTTATGATTTAAAATCAATAGGATATGATGAGACGTTAGCTAAATGAGTAGAAAGCGGGGAGAGAGGAATGACCCAGGTGATTCTTAGTGTTTTCTATTACCCTGCTGGGTAAGGGTGGCATCCCCTGGGGTGTGATGATCATTGGCATACAGGGAATCTGATTTGGGGAGGAAAATAGGAGTCTGATTTGGGCATGTTGAATTTGAGATAGCCTTGAGACCTCAAAGAGAGATTAGGTAAGCAGTTGGTTGAAGAGGTCTGAGCCAGAGAAAAATCTGTGACTCCTAATGTATAGGTGATAATTAAGCCTTAGGTGCAGATACCTTGTATAAGGTGAGAGTGTGGAGTGAAAGGAGCAAAGAGCCTCAAGATCAGGCCGTGAGAAATCCACGTTAAAGGAACCCACTTAGAGGAAGTTCCTTGAACCCAGTTAGAGGATGTTCCTTGAACCCAATTAGAGGAAGTTCCTTGAACCCAGTTAGAGGAAGTTAAAGGAACCCAGTTAGAGGAAGATGAACCAACAGAGGAGACAGAAGCAGCAGCCAGAGAGTCAGGAGGAAGACCTGGGTAGTGTTTTGTTCTGGAAGCCAAGAGAAAAAGAGTTTGTAAACAAGAAAGGAGTGACAGCAGTGCCAGGCACTGCTGAAGTGGTAGTCCAGAGAGCGTGGAAATATGTCACTGAATTTTAGTGACCTGCAGTAGAGGAATGAGGACACAGAAGCCCAGTGGAGTGGTTGAACATGCATGGAAGGAAAGGAAACGTTAACATTCATCGTAAACCTCTGGAGAACTACAGTGTGATGGAGAGGACAGAGAACTACAGTTAGCTAAACAATGGAATAAGTTTGCTATGGACGAGATGTTGTGGAGTAGAGGGGAGGCAGGTATCAAACCCTCCCTGGAAGGCCAGAGGGGGCATCAGAGAAGGCGTTATTGAGGAATCAGTGCTTTGTTGAGAGCCACCATGCCTGAAGTGAATGATGAAACTAAATTTGTTGGGGAGAGAGTTTCCGGAGAAGTAACCATCTTGTCTAGGGATTACAGCTTGTTGGATTTGGAACACAGATTGCCTACTGAATAGTGGCAGGAGGTTAATCTTGAAGAGGAAGCAGAAGCACTGAGGTGCTACAGTGAGGTATTTATACTTTATTAGCTTCTCAACTTATCTTTAGAAAGATTCTTAATGGCAGAAGACAGTAAGTGTAGACTCTGAAGCAACAGAAACTTTTCTTTCAAGTGCCATTTCAAAAATTCTAATGAATTTTATATTCTAACCCATAATGTATGGGTTTTTATGTAAAAGTATCTGAGATTATTTTCATTTGGGTTAAAAAAAAATGACTCCAGGAATATGAACCCTATTGATCCTGTGGCCTTGGCTAGCTCTCTCGTGCCCATGGTCAAATACATCCTATTTGAGAGTGTGTCCATTGGTGAAGACTAGCACCAGTATCATGATCAGACTTCCATTATGGTGAGATTATTGTACAGTGAAGGATGGGCTGAAGGTGGGGGCAGCTAGAGGCAGGAGAGTGGTAGTCCAGGTAAGAAATCATGAATACCCAAACTATAAGCAGTGGGGGTTTTGCAACTTAAGAGCATTGGCATGCCAGTGACTTCACTAGGCATGAGACATGATTAAATATGAAGGAGATGGAGTACTTTAGGATGATTCGCCAGAACCTGACCTGGGCATTGAGATTGGGAGTATAGAAGGACAGGCCTGGGTTTGGTGGGGTTGAAGGAAGAACCCCTGCTTGAGGTGTTTATTGAATAGATGGCCTTTGCTCACTAGTGGGAGCTGAAGGTATGGCCCACTTCAGCCAAATGCAAAGATCGATTTAATTGGACCTATGAGTCAGCAAGGGGCTGAGGGTAGGGGGTAGATAGAGGTTATCAGCACGTATGTGGGAGCCGAAGCTTGATAATAGATGAGATTGCTGAAGGATAGAGGGCCAGCAGGCAAGAGATCTGGAGCAACATGAATATTTAAAAGCAGGAAAGAAGGGAAAAAAATCCTGAGAAAACGGTGAGAGAGCTATTGAGGAGGAAAAGACTGAAGAGTGCATATCTAGGAGAGGGGGCAAAATCCAGAATCCACTGCATTGAGACGTGAGGGAATAGCAGGAAGTGTGTTGGCTAGAGAGAAATGCAGAGTCACTTTATAAGTAGCTTGGTCTTGTTTTTAAAATAGGAGTAGATGCACATTTATGTTATGAGCAAGAGCCAGTATAAAGAGATTATATTAGACCTGTTGCCTTATACATATAAGTATATGGTAAAAATATTTGTTTAATGAATGACCGCTTATTGTTAAATTTGTCAGTCTCAGTTTCACAGTTGATGTGTGTGTTTTATGCACTACTTGCTCTTTCTATTCAGTCATGGTTTCATTAATTTGGAGAGTGTGGTGTTATTTTTTTTTTTTAGCCTCAGAATATTCTGCTGACAAGTGAATCTCCATTGGGTGACATCAAGATAGTTGATTTTGGCCTTTCAAGAATAATGAAGAACAGTGAAGAACTCCGAGAAATTATGGGTACTCCTGAATACGTGGGTAAGTCTTCATAAGACCGGGTTGTGTTCTGTGTTTGGAGACAGGCATCATCTTCATTAGGGAACTCATATGTGGCATGATTAATAGTGGGACAACTGAAATTCTGCCATCCGAGACTTCTTCCTGTGTATTAAATTTAAAAACTTGGGGCGCCTGGGTAGGTCAGTCAGTTGAGCATCCACCTTCAGCTCAGGTCATGATCTCGTGGTTCGTGGGTTCGAGCCCCATGTCGGGCTCTGTGCTGACAGCTAGCTCGGAGCCTGGAGCCTGTCTTTGGATTGTGTGCCTCCCTCTCTCTCTGACCCTCCCCTGCTCATGCTGTCTCTATCTCTCTCAAAAATAAATAAAACATTAAATAATAAATTAATAAATTAAATAAATTTTTAAACATGGTAAACTTAAAGAGTTAGGTACCAAACTGATGATCCCTTTCCCAAAAGACTGAGAGAATTTGAAGGGATTACTTCTAAACGGAATAGAAGAGGATTTTCTTCACAAAGTGTGCCATGTCAGATTATCTGAAGATGAGAGCATATTGAACAAATAAAGGCCTTTAAAGAACTTCAAGTTTGTAATTAACTTTGTTAAAGTAATTGCAAGCCCTGCAATTCCATAGATGTTGAAACGGGACGTTTTGTTGGATTGATGCACGGTTGAGAGCCTGTAGCAGAAAGAAAAAGGACATTAAACTCTGAAGGTCCTGGTAAGAGAGCAGCAGAAGTGATGAACCATGGCTTCTAGGTTTGGTACAAAAATAAGTAAACTATGACTTGTTTGATAAACTGGAAGAAAAATAGGAAGCTAAAGATTAGTGGTTTGAATGAATTAAAAAATATATATCTGTAAGCAGAGCAAGGCAGTGAAATAATCTAAAGATTGTGACCAGAGATTACACTATCAGCCTTTAAGATGTCAGAGATGCAACCGCTCTTTGTAATTTTAAAGAGCTGTGGAAGGGCGCTACGTTAGACCTATAGGTCTGTAGGTGAGGAAGCACGGGCACGCTGGTGGCTACATACGTGGGTCACGGACACGAGTGTGGAAGTTGTCTGAAGTGATGGCACGTGGTTTTAGGAGGATGGTTTTTGTGTCAGATGACAGCAAGCACCCAGGGCCCTGGCCTGAGGGAAGAGCATTCACTAGACGCTAGAGGTGTCAGGTGGGCAGACCGGCAGCATTCAGGGTCGCCCCAGACCCGCTTTCACAGAGCAGACGGTGAAGAGAGTCATCTTTGAAGGAGGGAAGACAGCAGGACTTAGTTTACAGGGGAGAGTTGATTCTGAAGACACAGGCTAGGAGAACGATAAGGTTGAGGAAAACCAAGCTGTTTGTTGATGATAGTACACAAAAATAATTCTGAGCTTTAACGTAAGTCCTACGATTTGAGAGGCGCCTCGGTGGCTCAGTTGGCTAAGCGTCTGGCTTTGGCTCAGGTCGTGTTCTTACAGTCTTTGAGTTCGAGCCCCACATGAGGCTCTGTGCTGACAGATTCTCTGTCCCCCTCTCTCTCTGCCCTGCTCACACTCTGTCTGCCCTGCGCGCTCGCGCACTCTCTCTTGCTCTGTGTCTTTCAAAAATAAACGTAAACAAAAAAATAAGTCCTACAATTTGAAACATCTCAAATTAATTAGGTAATAATTGATATCACAGACAGAAAAACAACCTTCAAAATGTTGATGTGTTCTTTGTGGCTAGAATACTTTTTTCAGTAAGTGCCATGACCACACAGTAGGGTTTAAGAGTGTGGCTTAATAGGCTTCATCTAGGAAAGAGGCAGCCCAGATTTTCCAGCCAGTGTAGAGCAGTGTAAACTAGAATGAAGGGTTGTGAGTTGAGAGCCCTGTAGTAATTATTACCCTGAATGAGTTTGTTTTGTTTTATGCTTTCTGTTCTTTGGTAAATTTTCTACCAAGAGAGCTTTTCCCCCCTCCAAAAAACAGAACTATCTTTACTATGAAAGTAATAAAACCCAATCCAAAACAATTAAAAATAATTCAAAAGTATATAATAGAGAAAAACAAGGGGACCTCTCCATTCTTTTATGGACTTTCAGAGATGAATATAAGACTCCCATCCTGTTTTTTTTTTTTTTTTTAAGGTTTTATTTTTTATTTATTTCTAGGAGAGAGAGAGAGACAGCGCGAGCAGGGGAGGGCCAGAGAGAGAGGGAGTCACAGACTGAAACAGGCTCCAGGCTCCGAGCCGGCAGTCAGCACAGAGCCCGACGCGGGGCCCGAACCCACGAACCGCGAGACCATGACCTAAGCGAAAGTCGGACGCTCAACCGACTAAGCCACCCAGGCGCCCCTCCCATCCTGTTTTCTAAACAGAATCATTTACCTGGGAGCGGTGGGCTGTCTGTCTACTGGCTGTGTATGTGACCTCAGTCCTGAAGTCTCTGTACCTCACATTCCTCTGTCCATAACGTGGGGCTATAATAATACTGCCTTACTGGATTTGCTATACCAGGCTCTTTTGTAATAAACACAGGAAAGGAGGCTACTGTTATTTCCTGCCCCCTCTTCCCACCATCTTTTTTTTTAGTGTTTCAGGTTTGTATTTAAATTCTAGTTAGTTAACATACTAATAAAAGTGGTTTCAGGAGTAAAATTTAGTAATTCATACAACACCCAGTGCTCATCGCAAGTGCCCTCCTTAATGCCCATCAGCCTTTTAGCCCATCCCGCGCCACCTCCCCGCTCACCTCCCCTCCAGCAACCCTCGGTTTGTTCTCTGTAGTTAAGAGTCTCTTTTATGTTTTGCCTCCCTCTCCCGTTTTTAACTTATTTTTCCTTCCCTTCCCCTATGTTCATCTGTTCTGTTTCTTAAATTCCTCAGTTGGGTAAAATCATATGGTCTTCCCACCATCGTTTGCTTTACTTTTTCCCCCTCCAATAATTTGGATGCTATGCATTTCATTTTAAATTTCCTAGTAGTTTCTTTTAAAACTTTTAAATTTGAACTGTTATTAAAACCTGTTTTACTGATAAAGTAATACATGTAGCTTCTGTTTTACAAGTCAGTTTCAGGAGTTGATGCTGAGGAAATTTAACCTACTTAACATTTTCTCCCAACCTTTCATTCCTCATATTCAGGGGACGGAGGAGGGGAGGTTGTCCCCAACCCGTAAAGAATATGTGACTTTAGTGTTTTGTCTTTTCCTAGAATTAAAACATCTTCATTCCCTTTTTTTTTTAAAATCATAATTGCAGCAGTTGTTTAGTCTTTGATATGTTTTTAAATGGATCCAATACTTGGTTGCCTGTCTTTTCTTCCTATTTGCATACTTTGAAAAAAAAAAAAAACCTCATCTTTTGGTTGACTAGATTCAATCAGTGAGTAGGCTTTTCCTTTCAAGGAAGATTTTCATAAATCTCTCCTAAGTTTTTGAACATTTGAAAATGTCTGTTGCTTTATGCATAACAGCAGTTTAGTTAAATATTATCAAAGCATACTTGTTTTTCACAACTCTACAGAGGCAACGTTGTCGTCTTTGTGTGTGATGCATGTCACCTGAGAACGCTCAGCGGTGGATTTTTTGTTGTTGTTGTTTTTAAACCTTGTTGGCTGACTTTTTGTCAGTGGGTAGACCCTTAGAGCTCACTCCAGCTACAGCATGGAGAATAGAGCAGTGATGTGGAATGAGTGGAGAGGTCAGGAGGGGAAAGTGCCCTGGACTAGGGTGGGGGCGGATGTAAGGAAGAGTCAGGGATGCATTGAGAAAGGTTTGTAAGTAGTAATCTGTTAGATACAGTGCTTCATTGTAGAGGATATGGGTGTCAGTTGTCAGGTTCTATTACAGTATTTATGCATTCAGATATCTTAAAAATATTAGGACCCAACAATGGAGGGTACAAGTGTGAAAAATAAACAATTATGTCTTGTTACACTTTACAATAACTCAGATTAATTTGTAGAATATATTATTGTGTTAATTTATTTCATTTTAGCCCAAATCTTGAATAGTGTCTTAGAGTTTCTAACGACTATTTAAAAAAAAATGTTTTATCTTGAAAACCAAATTAGGAATTTTTTTCACATAGCTAAATGTTTTCTTCTGTTTCTGATACTAGCGCCTGAAATTCTGAGTTATGATCCGATCAGCATGGCAACGGATATGTGGTAAGAGCTATTTATGAAATAAATGATCTAATTCGTTTCAAGAAATATATAGGCCACTAATTTTTCTTACGTTTTCATTCTGATTTAGGAGCATTGGAGTGTTAACATATGTCATGCTTACGGGAGTATCACCCTTCTTAGGTGACAATAAACAAGAAACATTCCTAAACATCTCCCAGATGAACTTAAGCTATTCTGAGGAAGAATTTGATGTTGTGTCTGAGTCTGCTATTGACTTCATTAAGACACTCTTAGTTAAGAAACCTGAGTAAGTATTAGTTCTTACTGATCCTTATCAATTTTTGAGTGATCTGCTCTGAACAAAAGCAGGTTAAACTGAAACACAAAAGTGTAGACATTAAGCCAGGTAAGACCTTGAACTTACTACATCTGTTGAAAGAAAAAGTGTCAAAAATGAGAATGTTTCAGGGCGCCTGTGTGGCTCAGTTGGTTAAGCGTCTGACTTTGGCTCAGGTCATGATCTCACAGTCTGTGTGTTCAAGCCCCTCATCAGGTTTTGTGCTGACAGCTCCGAGCCTGGAGCTGCTTTGGATTCTTTCTCTCCCTCCCTCTCTGCTCCTCCCCCACTAGTTCTCTCTCTCTTAAAAAAAAAAATGAGTAAACATTAAAAAAAAAGAGAGGAGGTTTCTAGAAAACGTAAGCTGCATCTCAGTATAACAGATATTTATCTACCTGTTTTTGGTCTTCCAGAAGGACTTTTCAGAGATATCTTATTTAAAATATTTTTCAACATTATGGGAATGGCATTTGCACACTAACACCAGAACTTCCAGTCTTATTCAAGAATCACAATAAGATTCTTATTAACTCTTCATACTTCCCAAAATGTAATACAATCAATCTACCTTATGTTCTGATTTATTAAATTGATTTAAGATTTTTTTTTAAAGTAATTTTTTTTTAAGTAATCTCTATACAGAATATGGGCTTGAACTCACAACTTTGAGATCAAGAGTGTCATGCTCTACCAATTGAGCCACCCAGGCACCTCTCTTATGCCCCAGTTTATAATTGAAGTTTTAAACTACTTAAGTGTGAAATATGTGTCTTTTTATAGACATCGAGCCACAGCTGAGCAATGTCTGAAACATCCGTGGTTGACAGAGAGCAGTATTCAAGATCCTTCTTTCAAGGTGAAAGGGACATTAGAAGAAGCAAATGCACTCCAAGAAGGTGATTCTGTGCCTGAAATTAATTCAGATACTCAGAAACCAGAAACCGAGGAATCCATTGTAACCGAAGAGTTAATTGTATTTACTTCATATACTTTAGGACAATGCAGACAGTCTGAAAAAGAGAAAATGGAGCAAAAGGCCATTTCCAAACGATTTAAATTTGAGGAACCTTTGCTACAAGAAATTCCAGGAGACTTTATCTACTGAGCAATACTTCCCTTTAGAACTTTAAGATTTCTACATTGAAAACATTAATATTATTTATGGACTTCTGGCCAAATGGTACATGTACTGAAAGTGGACAAACCAGGTATCTCACTGATAGAAAAAAAACTAAAATTACTTGTGGAGTTAGATATATCAAGACAGATTTATAAAGTTGCCAACCAGGAGTTTTAACGGGTAAAGTTATCTGTGTCAATGTTATTTTTAAGAAGGGAGATGTTTGAACCTTTTATTTCTAAATCCTGTTTCTCCAGAATGAAAATTTGTTATGCAAAGATCATCTGTATTTACTTTCTTTAAAAATCCAAGTAAAAGTGCCAAATTAACATCTTTGTAAATCTATTTGAATTATTCTTATGTATCTGTATCTACATATATATAGTGATAGGGATATCTTTACTAAAACTGATACTTTTTCACTTTGGATTTTTTGGGGGGAGTAAGATTTAATTAGGCATCTTCCAAATTTTGAGACCTAGAATAACATCCACAATAATTTGATAATGTCTTATTTTTATATTTTATTACTGCTTTGTATCGACTTTATTTTATCTCTTTTATCTTTGCTTTTGCCTAATGCTTGTAACCGATCAGTGAAAAACCCTTGCTAATTTTTTTTCTCTTCAACGTCAACTAATAAGAGTTGTGTTGATTTTTCACCTCCAGTTACTCTGGTTTTAAGGTCAAGGTAGGTTCAGTAATCCTGTAACGTTAAAGCAGCACCGGTTTCTCGGCCCTTCCCCGGCCCTTCCCCGTCACGCCGTACGTGTTTACACGCTTTCACAAGGCTCTGCCCTTGCCGCCACCTCACGTGCTTGTCACCTCATTTGGTCACTTGCAAGTGTCCATGTGATCTGATCAACATGATGGTTGCTTTGGTCAGTGAAAAGACGCTTTTTTATTGTTTTTGTTAACAAAATCCCCCAGAGAGGGATAAGAGTGGAAGCATATTCATCCTGGCCACAGAGCCTCCATTTCTGTTATTAGCCCTCAGACTGTATTAAGAAAAGTTCTAAAATGCCAAAATATTTATAAACTTTTGTTCATTAAAAATTTGACAGTGGATTCTTTGTCATTAGGGAGGAAGCCTTGTTCCCTAAAGACTTATAAGAAAATATACTCAGTAGAATTTAATTTGATTGGGATTGAACACTTCAATTGTATGTAGGCCCCACAGTGAATAGTAAATTCTTACTTAAAAAAATGGAAATGTACAAGTGTACGCTGTATAACTTGAAGCAACTAAATGTCTTTCTCACACAAAGCCTGAGTCGTGTCCTTATTTATCTTCCCTTAGGCTCAGGTTGTTAGATGCCCACGAATGCAGTCGGTCTGTCCCCCCGGTACTGTGTACACGCGCCAGGCTTGTGCTGTGCACAGGATGTCCCGTCCTGACTCGGTGCTAGCCCCCCCCCCCCCCCCCCCCCCCGCCGTTTCCAAGTGTGTGCGGAGTTCAGTGTTGGACATCTACCCCACGGTCCACAGCCACCCCCAGCCCTGCCGGGAGGGTGCAGGGACCCTGACCATGTTCTCACACCAGCAGAGGAGATCGCTTAGGCAGTTCCAGCCATCAGCTTGCACTATTTGCTCATTATATTGGCTTTATTTACACAGTTTCTAAACCAGCTCTAGAAGGAGGAAGAGGAAGCTCTGCCACCGTGGCAGGGTTTCCACTGAAAACACATGACCGCTGTGTTAAGCCTCAGGTAAGTCTTGGAACAAGTAAAATGCAATTCGAAAAAAAATTACAAAATATTGCAAAAATATTTGTAAATACCTCCCTGACAAAAATAGGGGGTGAGAATACCCACTGCTGAATGACATATTTTTATACCTGATAGCTTTGTCCAGTTTTTAAATCAGAATCATTCAGATAACATTTAGACTTTTTCCAAGCCATTTTATATTACATTCAAAATAAATACATTTTTCTTTCAGTGGCCACATTGCTGATTGCAGTGTGCTGATCTCCTTCTTGCTTTTGTACCTGAATTTAGAGTTGTACAGTGCTTTTTTTTTAGAAGCACATATACTTGTAAAGGCATACTGAATTTTTTGGTTTATATGATGTAAATAGTGCATGAAGAGTCTTCACAAATTGGGCCAAATAAAATCCATTAATGACTTACCAACTACCTCTATACTTACCTAATGCTGTTAATTTTCTTTTAACAGGTTTACAAAGAACAGTATTATTGAATTTATTCATGGAATTCAGAAGTCCAGTATTAATATAATATTCACTAATATTCTAGCTTGATGAGAAGTTTGTGAAATATGCAAAACGTATGTGGTTTTAGTCAATTGGGAAATTTTTTTTTCCTAAAATAGTTTATAGTCAAGTTGGTTTCTATATAACACCCAGTGCTCATCCCCACAAGTGTCCTCCTCCATGCCCATCACCCCCTTCCCCTCCCCCCACCCCCATCAGCCCTCAGTTTGTTCTCAGCATTCAAGAGTCTCTCATGGTTTGCCTCCTTCCCTCTCCCCAACTATTTTTACTCTTCTCCCCCACAGTCCTCCGTTAAGTTCCTCCTAATCCTCCTGTACGTGCAAACATATGGTATCTGTCCTTCTCTGCCTGACTTATTTCGCTCAGCATAACACCCTCAAGTTCCATCCATTTTGCTACACATGGCCAGATTTCTTTTTTTCTCATTGCCATTTAGTATTCCATTTTATAGATTAACCACATCTTCTTTATCCATTCGTCCGTTTATGGACACTTAGGCTCTTTCCAGGTTTTAGCTATTGTGGAGAGTGCTGCTGTGAACATTGGGGTACACGTGCTCCTGTGCCTCAGCATTTCTGTATCCCTTGGGTAAATTCCTAACAGTGCTATTGCGGGGTCATAGGGGAGTTCTAGTGTTAATTTTTTGAGGAACCTCCACACTGTTTTCCAGAGGGGCTGCACCAGTTTACATTCCCATCAGCAGTGGAGGAGGGTGCCCGTTTCTCCACATCCTCACCAGCATCTAGAGTTCTCTGATTTGCTCATTTTAGCCCCTCTGACTGGCATGAGGTGGTATCTCAGTGTGGTTTTGATTTGTATTTCCCTGATGAGGAGGGACGCTGAACATTGTTTCATGTGTCTGTTGGCCATCTGGGTTTCCCCGTTTGAGAAGTGTCTTTTCATGTCTTCTGCCCATTTCTTCACTGCATTGTTCTTCCATTGTGGAGTTTGGTGAGTTCCTTACAGATCTGGATACTAGCCCTTTGTCTGATATGTCATTTGCAACTATCTTTTCCCATTCCATCAGTTGCCTATTAGTTTTATGGAGTGTTTCCTTTGCTGTGCAGAAGCTTTTTATCTTGATGAGGTCCCGATCGTTTATTTTTGTTCTTGATTCTCTTGCTTTTGGGGATGTGTCAAGTAAGAAATTGCTGCGGTGGAGGTCAAGGAGGTTGTTTCCTGCTTTCTCCTCTAGGGTTTTGATGGTTTCCTGTCTCACATTCAGGTCCCTTATCCATTTTGAGTTTATTTTTGTGTATGGTGTGAGAAAATTATCTAGTTTCATTCTTCTGCATGTTGCTGTCCAGTTCTTCCAGCACCATCTGTTAAAAGAGGCTGTCTTTTTTCCATTGGATACTCTTTCCTGCTTTGTCAAAGATTAGTTGGCTGTATACTTTTGGGTCCACTTCTGAGTTCTCAGTTCTATTCCATTCATTGGTCTTTGTGTCTGTTTTGTGCCAATACCATACTGTCTTGATGATGACAACTTTGTAGTACAGGCTAAAGTCTGGGATGGAGATGCCTCCCATTTTGGTTTTCTTCTTCAATATTACTTTGGCTACTTGGGGTCTTCTATGGTTCCATACAAATTTTAGGATAGTTCTAGTTTTGAGAAGAATGCTGGTGCAATTATGATTGGGATTGCATTGAATGTGTAGAGTGCTTTGGGTAGTAATGCCATCTTAACTATATTTATTCTTCCTATCCATGAGCATGGAATGTGTTTCCATTTCGTTGTGTCTTCTTCAATTTCCTTCATAAGTTTTCTATAGTTTTCACCATACAGATCAATGCCTTTTCAGAAGAAGGTGGTTTTCATTTCCATGAAGTCCAGTTTATCAGTTTTTATTTGATGGCTAATACTTTCTGTATCCTCTTTAAGAAGTCCTTACCCCAGAGTCCTGAAGATATATTTTTTTTTTATTAACCTTAATAGTTTTAGCTTTTATGTTTAGGTCCGTGATTCACTTTGAACTAGTGTTTGTGTGTGGGGATTGAGACTGTTAGGTAGGGTCTATTTGTTTCCTATATGAATATTCAATTGTTTCAGCACCTTTTGTCAGAGATTGTCCTTTCCCATTGAATTGTTCTGTCCTTTTCTAAGGTCATTTCTGTGGATCTACTTCTGGATGCTCTTCTGGTCCTTCAGTTTATTTGCTTATACTTTTGTCAGAACTTTGTCTTGATGTCAAGTAAAATAAGACTTCCAATTCCTTCTTTTTCAAGACTGCTGTTGATTCTAGGCCCTTTGCATTTCAAAATAAATTTTAGAGCTGGCTTGGCATTTCTTCCAAAATAACCTCCCCACCCCGGGAAAAAAAAAAAAAAAGACTCATGGGATTTTGACCGAGATTTATTAAATCTGTTAATTTGGTGTTTTAACAGAATCTTCCAGTCTATAAACAGAGTATAGGTTTCCATTACAGTAAAACCGTGGTTTATGAACATTATTTGTTCTGGAAACATGGCTTGTAATCCAAAGCACTTATGTATCAATTTCAAGAACCATTGGCTCGGTTGTGATCATGTGACATTTGGTGTCATGTGCTACTTGTATTGCAGTACATCACTTGTAGCAGGTTAGAATTCATTAGAAATGTTTGCTGGTCTTGCAGAACACTCTCAGAACAAGTTACTCTATTTTATCTTAATTTTTCCCAGCACTGTTTTGTATTTTTTTAACAAAGAGATCTTGCATATTCTTTATCTCTGTATCTCTGATGCTGTGGTTCTGGATACTCTTTGTTCTTACCTTTTTTGTGTTTTTGATACTTAATCTTCCAGAGGTCATTTTAAACTCCTGCTTAGACCTATGCTAGAACTTATTTAAATAACAATGAGTCTACCTTCCTGACTGCTAGGGAAAGGTTTTTACCTAAGAATTGTACTTTGGTTTCCTTTCCCTCATTTAGATTTACCTGTATTTATTCATTTTACCTTTGGCTGCATTTTAGCTCCTGTTCATAACTCAATTTTTAAAAATTATTTTTGTATAACTTGGTTTTGGTTGGATTTTCTTTTTAAGTACTAGAGAATGAATAACCCGAGCTTAGGCTACCACAGAGGTTAGCATTCTATGGCTCTTGTCGCCGGTTGGTTAAATAAAGTTTTATTGGAACACAGCCTGACCATTCATTTATGTTTGGCTGTGGCTACTTCCATACTAAAGCTACAGGGTTGAGCAGTTGCAACAGAGGTTTTACGGCCTAAAATAGTTACTGTCATGCCCTTTACAGAAAAAGTTAGCCAACCCCCAAGGCTTCCTGTGAAGCAGGGTTCCTGACCCATGGCCGTGTCTGCCTCCTGCCGAGCCAGGGGCTTTCTTGCTACCCACCAAGGCGGCCTGGAGACAGAAAGCGCGAATGTGTTCAGATTGTACTGCGGATGCCAGTCCCCGTGGTCATCGTGAGAAAAGGGGAGGAGGAGATTTCTGGACTCACGGATACTCCGGTGCCTCATCGCCCAGGGCCCAAAAGAGCCAGCAGAATCCTCAAACTTTACAACCTCTTGAAGGAAGATGATGTCCGCCAGTCTTCTGGGAGAAGGCCCCTAAACAAAGAAGGAAAGAAACCTAGAACGAAAGCGCCCCAGACTCGGCGTCTTCCCCCCCCCCCCCCCCCCCCCCCCCCCCCCCCCCCCCCCCCGCCGCGTCCTCCAGCACACACGTCGGTGTACTGCTTGGAAGAAGCAGCGCACTAAGAAAAATAAGCAAGAGGCTGCAGAATATGCCAGACCTGTGGCCAACAGAATGAAGGAGGCCAAAGAAAAACACTAGGAACAGGCTGCCAAGAGACAGAGGCTGTCTTTTCTGAGAGCTTGAGTCTAGTCAAAAATGAGATTGTTCCTAAGAGGAACAAATAAATAAGATCAGATATCAAAAAAATGATAAAAAAAATAAAAGCTAAGCACTATAGTTATGTGGTGGAGGAAAAAATTTCTGCCTCCAAGCCTTATTTAATGATAAAAGGCATTTACTATATATACCACATGTGACATATGATACGTACCTACATCTGAGAGGCATGTTTTTAATATTTTCATCTCCCACTTTTCTACCCTGGAATGTAAAATGCCACTTTTTCTGTATATGGTCCTGAATGTACTTTCAACTGAGCAACTCGGAAGTTGGCCACAAGACCAGCCTGGACGATGTACAGGTTACTAAGGAGGCAAGAATCCTGTGGGTGGGGCCTGGCGGGTTTCCCAGCATCCTCCCGCCGCCTCCTGACCTCCGTGGCCATCAGGCCTCCTGCTGTGTACGGCAGCGTCTGCCAAGCATCTGAACAAGCGGTGGAAACATTGCCTCGCTTGTAAGACAGGTGCTTGGTATTTCTTCATATTTTTCATACAAACTGAAAACCAGTCAAGTAGCCTAAGGCCGCTTGCCTTCAGGAAACCCTTGAGCTGCTGCCTAGTGGGCATTACCTCGACCTCTCCACTGTGCCGGCCGACGGAGGCCGCTTTGTCCAGCTCTGGCTGTAATTTATTTCAGCTTCTTCACCTCTACTGTGAGCAACTTTACCAAAACCGGGAGTAATAAAACCTTGTCTCATCACAGATGGTTGAAGGGAAGAGAGGAAATCTAGAAAAATGGAATCAATGACAGTAAAATGTGACTTATTGAAAAGTCCCATCGGCCCTGTCAGGACACATTCATCATAGTCTCTTAAACATCCATTAACTGTGCCATCATATGCTTACTCCCCAGTCTGTGAGGGCCACAAGCCGACATGCTGGGGCCAACTTTCCTTTCCAGGGCTGGCTTTTACTGTGTCTTCAGCTAAACTATCCCTTGGCCAAAATGGGTATCTTAGTTCTGGGGCATAGCTCACCTTTCTCCTGCTGAGGCCTTTTTTTGGCGTTCTCTTTCCATTTGCGGGCCACTTTCTATCGTGCCTGAAATCTTAGATTTCAAGGCCCATCATATGACTGCTCCCTCCAGACTGCCTCTGGGATTCCTCCTAATCAGTATCTCAGTCTTCTCCACCGTTTTAGCACCAGTGCTTCAAACGCTTCTGGCACCGTGTTCCTAATACTCTGTTACTCCCCAGGCCCTCCCCCCCCGCCCCAGCTGGGTAGGCTGTTACTCCCCAGGCCCTTCCCCCGCCCCCAGCTGGGTAGGCAACTTGCAGGGAAGAACATGCCACGTCCTGTAAAGGAGGTGGGAGTCATACCACCATTTGTTGGCTGTGCTCTGTCTTCCACGGTCTTTATAAAATTAACAATTCTAGCGACGCCCTTTTCCAGCCCCTGAGAACTGAGTGTGCAGTGTGCATGGTGCACTTGCTCTAATTCTGCTTGTGGGCAAGAGTTGCCTTTTCCTCTGATGACGATGTGCATCATCCAGGATGTCTTCAAGGTAGTTGGTGGGAGTCAAGGGCTGAGTCACAGTGATTACTAAATACACAGGAAGTGGTGGGTTGCAAATGCACATCACTGCTACACTCAAAGCAACGAAAGGCCACGTCTGTCTACTGCAATGGCCAAGTTACGGCCTGTTCATGAACGCCCGAGAAGGTGGATGGAAAGTAAACTTGAAGACGTACTCAAAGATGACTTCCAAATAGAAATCAAGGATCTTTTCATGACACAATACTATTTCCTATCAGCTGGGTTAGGAAAGCCTCTTAATGCAAATTCTACATAAACAAAAACTGTCACTTTTACTTCAGAACAGATGGCCCATCTGGGCTCTGGCTTTCTATGATTTGGCAATATCCAGAAAAGACCAGCAAACACTGAAAGGAAGTAAAAGCTAAAGAGGAAAATCAGACATGAAGCAATATGTAAACTGACACATATACAATAAACAATATATAGCTGTTCAAGAATAAAGCAGCACAGGGGGGCCTGGGTGGCTCAGTAAGTTAAGTGTCTGACTTCTGCTTAGGTCACGATCTCACAGTTCATGGGTTCGAGCCCCACGTTGGGCTCTGCTGACAGCTCAGAGCCTGGAGCCTGCTTCGGATTCTAAGTCTCCCTCTCTTTCTGCTCCTCCTCTGCTCACGCTGTCTCTCAAAAATAAACATTAAAAAAAAAAGCACATAAGCACACGCACAGTGTTCTACCATTTGCAGTAAAAGTTCTGTGAGTGTTCCGCAAGATGTGAGTGGTATGTGATGGCAAATGCCACATGATCAAAACTGAGCCTGGGTTCGAGCCCCGTGTCAGGCTCTGTGCTGACTGCCAGCTCAGAGCCTGGAGCCAGTTTCAGAGTCTGTGACTCCCTCTCTCTCTGACCCTCCCCTGCTCACGCGGTCTCTCTCTCTCCTAGAAATAAAACATTTAAAAAAATTTTTTTAAAAAACTGAGCCAATGGTTCTTGAAATTCCCTTTTATAGGAGTGCTTTGGATTACAAGCATGTTTCTAGAACAAATTACACTGGCAAACCGCAGATTTATTGTATTTTAAAAGATAGTAATATCTGTACAATCTGCAAAAGTGATCTCAGGGAGACTCCTATTTCTACAATATTTCTGTATCTATAATCTATTCAAAGAAGATTTCATTTTAAAGAAACAAGCTCTAAACAGAACTAACTTCCAATGATCAAAGGCCTCATGCTCTATATTAAATTTAAGCTCAATATTTCCTGAAAGGCTTCCCTCCAATGAATGTTAAGAATGCAGGAAAAGAAGGGCGCCTGGGTGGCTCAGCAGGTTAAGCGTCCGACTGTAGCTCAGGTCATGATCTCATGGTTCATGAATTCCAGGCCCATGTCGGGCTCTGTGCTGAGCTCAGAGCCTGGAGCCTGCTACGGATTCTGTGTCTCCCTCTCTCTCTGCCCCTCCCCCACTTGAGCTCTGTCTTTGTCTCTGTTTCTCTCTCTCAAAAGAAACCTCTTTCGAATATAGTTTTAGCATACCTCTTAGTGATTTACATGTTCTTTATATAATTAGGGTATGATTTTTGTCTCAAAAATAATAATTTTTTTAATTTAGGAAAAGATCTAATGAATGCCTTTATTGTAGTCAATTATAACTGCATTAAGCCTAATAACAGTTAGGGGGTGATACTGACCTTTTCAAAGCAAAGATCCCACATTTCTGGTTTGTATCAGCTCTAGTGCTCAGAGAGGAGGAAGATAGTTGGCTTCATAATACTGTTCCTTATTTAAAAAAAAAAAAAAAAAAAGGTACCACCTAAATGTATGCTCCTCTAATACGTGGCTGTTTGCAGAGCAGAAGGCTAAGGACCTGCTGACTTTAAACTAGCAATCCCAAGTTAGTTTTGCACGTGTTATGTACACATATATATTTTTTTAAGCTTCTAAAATGTCTGGACTAAAGAGGTTATTTTGCAAATCTTCATCAGACAGACCGTCGACGACTACAACAGAAACAAGAAGATAAAACAACAGCAGTGAAGCAAAAAAGCATTCCAAAGGGATTGACAATGTTCACAAGCTACTTAACAACATGAATTCAGGGTAGGGCATTCTCATGTTAACAGTTAACCTTGCCTTGCCTTCCCATGGATGGAACTGAAATGGGGGGGGGGGGAGGGGGTCAAGAGGGAGGAGGGGGCTGGAAAGAAAGAGAAGAACTAGCAAAAACCAATGAACATCTTATTAACAGTGATTCCTCTTGTTCTGTGCTTTGCTTTTAGACAGTGAATTTGCAACTAAATTCTTTCATCAATTTATTGTAAAATGTCCATTTCTGATTAAATTGAAACCCACGACAACTGTGGTCAAATCAGCATTATACCAAGATTACCACATGCCAGCGCGTACAATCACCCCCAGTGTTGGCAACCTGGCTCGAGACCCTGGAGGGACCTGGTGAGGAGGGAAGGCCATGCTTGGAGAAAGCTGAGTCCTTCTGATCACCTTCCTCCTCCATCACCGGTGTCCCCGCTGGCCTTGAACAGGGCAATCTGCCGACCATCCTTGAGCTCTAAGAAGACCTCCTGAAGGTGCCACCTTAGAGAAACCAAAAGAATAGTCTCTAATCACAAACACCAACGCAAAAGACATGGTCAAGAAAAGAAAAAGGGAAAGGAAAGAAACTTGGTTTTGAGTAATGTCTTAACATTTTTAAACACAGTTTTATGTTAGACCTATGGTAACATAAATGTTTTTTAACATTTTCTTATGGACTCATTGTTTAACAGGCATCACTGTCAAAGCAGGTTTAACGAAGAATGAGTAACAGGCGAAGGGAGGGGGCACCGGGAAAGAGAAGGAACTTATTCCCCATTTCCTAATTCACATCAACCTTCAATTCTTGGCTGGAACTCTGCCAGCTCCTGCATTGATCCCAGGCTCAGAGGTCGCTGAGCCCAGGGGGAGACGGCTGGGGACTACCCGCTCATGTTGTCCTCGGGAATTAAAACACAACTTGGCTAAACAGCAAGCATCTCTGGAGAGGCTTCCAGAGGGGGCAGTGAGTGAACGTACCTATTGGCAACCAGACAAGAAAATCCAGTTAACGGGGTGCAGATCTTCTATAAAGACTGTGATGAATAATTCCGGAACAGGAACCCGTGCCTTTATTCATCTACGACGACTGGGGCAGGAGTGTTAGAAGTGGTACCACAGCATCAATATCATAGATCTAGATCAGGAGAGCGTCAGGTTCTTCACAGTCAGCCGCATAAGGAGAGGACGATTCAGGAGGCTGTACTGCATCAAACGTCCGGACTGAGCTAAGAGCCAAAGCACTGGCTTGGTGTCCGGGCCATGGGACTTCAAGCTTTGAAAAACAAATTCTTCCTACTGCAGTCATTTCACTACAAATGAAAATGAGAATCAGGATTGTTTCCGTTGGAGAGTTCCTGTTTCCCCATTCGCACTCACCTTCCCATAATACCTCTGAAAGGGGGCATCTCTGGATGAGCTGACATAGAGATGGCCCTTCTGACTTGGATCCAGAAACAGGAATCTTCAACTGGGGGCATAAAATACAAGGTACAATTGGATACGTCGTTGTCCTCCCAAGAGATGAAAAAGTGATGTTTTCTAGAGCTCAGCCTATGAAGTCCAGTGACCGTTCACAGAAGTGTTGTTTCCTAAATTAGACTAGCTGGAGAATGACCTGATTTTCCATCTGGCTCCCTCCCAATGTCCTGCCCCTCTCTGGACAGTTCGGGGAGGCCAGTCCTCCTACTTGGCAGGGACCTTATGTGCAAACCCCATGCTCGGAGTACCGACAATGCTATTCAAAACGCCACTGTCAAGAAGGAACGTAACGACAGATACATGCAACAGTGTGGGCATCAAAAACATGCCTGGTGACAGAACCTTACCCAGAAGTATATAATTTCATGCTCTAGAACAGGCTAAACCTATACTGGAAAAATGTATCAGAGGGGCGGTTATCTCTAGCAGGGCTGAGGGGTGTGAGAGGACCGAGAAGAGCATAAGTGACTGAGATGAACAGGCTACATCTAGATGGGCGCTTGTTACATAGGTGAATGCATTTATTAAAATTCATCAAATAGGACAATTAAATGTGTACCTTTCCCAGAATGCAAATTTTACCTCAAAAAAGAACCATAAGTAAATATTAAACTCTGGTTAATGATATGTTGCTTATGTGTTTAAATGAAGCGTATGGATGTTTGAAAGTGATGTGTTCCCGGACACAGATGTGGCTAGATGAACAGACAGGAGGTGAAGCAAGTCAAGTCAAATATTACAGTTGACCCTCAAACAACACATCAAAAATCTGCATATAACTTCTGATTCCCCCAAATGTAATTATTAATAGCATATTGTTGACTGGAAGCTTTACTATTAATATAAGCAGTCGACTAACACGTATTTGTATGTTCTTTGTATTCTACACTGTATTCTTACAATAAAGTAAGCTAGAGAAAAGAAAATGTTACAACCATAAGGAGAAAATACATCTACAATCCTGTATCAACAAAACTCTGCATTCAGTGGGTCCACGCAGTCCAAACCTATGTGGTTCCAGGGTCAATTGTAATCGTAGATTCCAGGTAGCAGCTACGCCGGTGCCACGGTGCCAATTCTTTTATCTTTTCTGCACGTTCACAACTTTTCATAATAAAAGAGAGGATCCAGCCACTGTGGAAGCACAGAGGAGTCCCACCACACGGTGTGACAGGCTGGATGACGTGACATAGACATAAGGCCGCCTGGCACACAGTAGGCACTCTGCACCTCGCCCCCCCCGTCCCTTTCTCTTCGGGGCTCCCTCTCTCACTTAGCGGTACCGCCACCTTTCCACTCACCCATATCGGGCATTAAAGCATCACCTGTGACCAGCCCTCTCCTGACCTAAGCAGGCCGCAGCTCCAGTGCACGCTCTCGCCGCCGCACATCTGCAAGGCCACGCTGCTTTCCTAGGGGCAGTTCCCTGTGTCCAGTGTCTGGGTATTTCCAATCGGCATGAATTTATCTTCTTTCAAAACCAGATCAAATATTTTTATCAAAATACTCGAGCGTGAATGGCTTTTGTAAGAAAAAAAATCCCAATGAAAATATTCCCATTAAAAATTTAATAAGAACAACGACAAAAAATAGATCAGGTCATCTTCCTCTTACCCTTAAAATCCTCCATGGCTTCTGCCGGCCCCGGGAAGCGTGCGTACCTCACACTATGATATCGCGGCCCCGTGGTCCCAGCCTGGCCTACTCACCACACCCGCCTGGGCAGCCTGCGCCTCCAAGGAGCTCACACTGGCAGGGGGCACAGCCACGTGCCTTCTCGGGCAACTGCTCTGTAGCCGGCATTCCTTCTCTTCACAGCACGGTCCCAGGTGGCTACCTGTTCCCTCCCAAGCCACCACCACGGCATTTGCTTCGCCCTGTCTTACTCGGGAATCTTAAGCCACAACCTCCTGGAAAGCCTTCTGCATCTCTGTATTCCCCGCACAGCTTACAAGCATTTCTCTAACTTGATGTGGGCTCAAAACATATTTGTTCAACCCAAGAATAAATGCATCTCATACTCAGGTGGGTTTTCTGGCTGAACTATAAAAGAAGATGTAGCCAGAAAATGGCCTGGCATTTCACGGCAGCAATGTAATAAATGAGCATTAAAACTACAGTTTAAAGAGTTGCTCACACTTGAGTGAGCACTGACGTGGCTGTTGATGTATTTCAAGTTCAAAGCGGAAGCTGTGGCACGCCACCACTGGCCACTTCCCTACAACCTTCAGTTCAATTTTTTTTTTTTTAATGTTTTATTTTTTATTTATTTCTAGGAGAGAGAGAGAGAGAGACAGCATGAGCAGGGGAGGCTCAGAGAAAGAGGGAGTGACAGACTCTAAAACAGGCTCCAGGCCCTGAGCTGGCAGTCAGCACAGAGCCCAACGCGGGGCTCGAACCCATGAACCGCGAGATCATGACCTAAGTGAAAGTCAGACGCTTAACTGACTAAGCCACCCATGCGCCCCTATAACCTTCAGTTCAAGATGGTGACCCGAGCCCAAACACTGCCTTCCCAGCCATGGTTATGCCCCAGGAAGGAAGACAAGTATGTGAGAAGAAATGTACCCATAATGCTCTCACAGAAGCATTACCTAGTGGTGGTTTCACTTAGTGGATGTCCCCATCCCGAATCCTCCAAGACTCTCCCCCAGTGAGGGCAGCCCTCCCCGACTTCAGGCTGCCAGGGGAGCTCGTTACCTGGGCCTCAGCGATGTCCACGAAGTTGTACTGGTCGGTGAGCTGGAGACAGTGGACGCTGAGGGGAGGGCCCAGAGCTGCAGAGGCCTCGGGGCGGCTGTGCAGCTGCTCCAATGCCAGCTGATAAGAGGAAGCCCCGGAAAAAGCCTCTAAGGGGGAAAGACGGGTTGTTATATTTATTTTTCTTTTGTAAACTCGGTCAGGTAGACTCTCTATAGAAAGCTGGAGAATACAATTCACGCAGAGCATGGAAACAAACAACTGTGAAATTTCTGGATGGAAAAATAATTAGGGAACGTTTACCCTGACGTGTCCATTTTAGAGACTCCAAAAGCAAAGTACAGAGAGTCAGTATCTGCGGGAATGTGGCAGATGACCTTGAGCAAGGTGCTTGATCTTTCTGTGCCTCAGCGTCTTCATCTCTCACTTCCCACCTGATCCGTTCCCTCATTTCTTCATCTAAGGGGTTTGCTCGGATTTTTTCTGGCTTTCCTTTCAGTCCTAAAGTCCTGTGATTCCATGACTTGCTCAAAGTGACATGGCTGGTCCACGGCAGAACTGGGGCCAAAATCTTACGACCGTGGACTTGTAAACATTGTTCCTTCCACTAGGATGAAGGTCTGGATAATCCAGGGTAAAATAGACCCCAACATCATCAACAACAAAACCTTTGGGCCAAGAAACACAACGTGAAAGTGCTAATTTGTCAGGTTTATAGATTTAAGGCAACATTTCATGTAGGTAAAGCTCATACGCCGCTGTCTCAGGTAGGCTTTGGCCCAAAGGCTACTGGAAACTCCAGGAAGCACCTCCCAAAGGTGTAAGGGAGACACGCTGCCTTCGGGAGAGAGCAAAGGCAGGCTTCCCGAGCGGGGGGCTTCAGGTTGGCAGCAAGAGCGAGCTTCCCTCCCTCAGGCCTGATGGAGGCCGGGGAGAAGGCCCCTCCGGCCACTCCCCAGGACCGGGCTTGCAGGGGATGCTGTGGGTCTGAGCAGGTGCCCGCCAAGGCCGGCACAGGAGGGGCAGATGTCGGGTCCAGGTTTCCATGGAGGCCCCGTTCCCGGGATCTCCTGGATCTTACAAGGTATTTGGTTTTACAACAAGCTCATGCGCGGGCGCGGGCGTTACCCCCATCACACAGGTAACTGCGGGGCGATCCTCCCACGAGGCCGTGTCTGCGGGCCGGGCCTCACCTGCTGAGGCTCAGACGGAGCGCAGCCGGCCTGGATCCGTCCCGGCAGGAAGTGAAAACGGCGCAGAGTCAGGGTGAGAAGCCAGGCTGGGCGGTGGGCATAAAGGATCTTCAAAGAAAGTCAGTCTAGAAAAAAAAAAAAAAACCACACACACAACTGCTGCTGCTTTGCAGCCAGTAGCATTGAAACGACCTTAGCTGTCCTGGCTGCCCACAGTAATTGTGGCCTGTCCTTACAAATTCGAATTTGGGTGCCGTGGGGCTGGAGGTGGCATCCGTCAGGGTTTGGCATCCTGGACTCTGCGTTTATCTGCTGCTCTCCCCAGAGTCCCCCGCTCCTCCACCAAACCTACAGCAGAGCATGGATGGGAGGGCAAACAGGCTGACGGTACTTGAAAAGCATCCAGTTTTCCCCACCCGTGAAGCATCTGGTGCTGCCCTCCGCTCTCCTCTTCACAGAATCGCACAAATCTTAAGGGACCTCTGGAGTGTGCCCCGGAGTGGAAGCCCCTCCTGCTTTTCGCAAGGCTTCTGTGCGAACGAATCCTGGTCCTTTGATTTGCACTTGTAGCTTCGGGGAAAAACCGGGATTATAGGATAAGCAGGAAGCCACAGCCAAAGGAATGGTGTGCTGGCTGCTAAAAATACCCCTCTCCTCCTTTCTCTAATCTCATGAAAGCATCTGAGGTATTTCCTTTGATGGAGGATCGGGGCAGGAGAGCTGGGAGGCAGCCACACCTTGGCAGCTGGGTTCGCTGGGTACTTACGTCGTATGAGGTAATACACACGGGCGCCGCTCCCACCGGCCAGCACGCTGGAAAGGAAGACCAGTTTCCCCAGAGGCGATGGCATCTTGCTTCCCGAAGACTTAAAAACAGAAGACATGAATTTGCTCTTAAGTTCAAGTTTAGGCCGAGGGCCTTTGTCTGGATTGGGCCCCACAGGGAAAGGAAGCTCAAGAGGAATCCAGCGAGGAGGAGGCCACCTTCCCCATTCGCTTCCTTTCAGAAAGCCAGGGCTGGTTCTGGAGCCAAAGCAAAAGCGCCCTCCCGAGGGTGGCCCACGGCCAGGACCCAGCCGTGGGGGCAACAGCCGAGCACAGAGCAAGCATTCAGCACTGCTGTCTTTTCGGACAGAACCCAGCCCGTGTGCCAAGTCCTACACGGCCAGGAAGCACAACCACTTTGTCTCATGCCGGCTGGTAAACAGGAAGCTTATCCCTTTGTGGCAGTCGTTGGTCTTATGAGCCTACGAACGGGCCGGTGTGGTCACTGGCTGCTCTTTTTCATATTTTGAAAAAATATCCCATCCCCCACCCCCCGTATGAGGAAACTGTGGTCATGACTTTCAGAACGAATGAACAGATGGAGAGGAGCCAGCTCAGCAAATTCAACATACCACGGCCGCCCTGGCCTTCACGCCTGTCTCCTGAAGGCCTGGGCGGGGCTTTGAGCAACTCACAGGCCTCAATGGTACCAACTGCACTCCCTCCAGGAGGCCGTTTAACCACCGCTCACAACTGGCTTAGGCATTTCTGTTACGCTGTAAGACACCCGCCATAAAGCAGAGGAGGGGCCGGCTTAGATCAAGATCACAATTCAAATGCCAACAGGACCAGATAAATCACATAAGTGAGAGCAGACACTGAAAAGTGAGACGCGCATGGCCCAGCCAAGGGGCAGCTTCGACCCGGCGCCAGCTGGCAATGGTTATGCAGGCCAAGTCTGGATGGATCTTCCAATATTTCAAGAGACCTTTTAAAAACCTAACAAAATGCACATGAGTCTGGTTCTTTCTGTAGGCTTCCGGTTTGCTCTGACCACCCAAGCTGCATCAGGGCACCCTCACCCTCCATGAGACTTGGGTACATTCCTCTGTCTTTGCTGATATTTCTCCAAAAAGAAATGAGATTTTGGACAGAGATGGAAACCCTGGTTACATACCGGGAAGGAAAAAATGAAAAGTGCTTATACCCCCATCTGAAGATTTAAACTTAGAGTTCTATGTGCTTCTTTAGGACCAAGCTTTTGATGTGACCTAAAGGGGTCCAAGGCATTACAGCGCAAAGTACTGGGCACGATGCTAGTTCCTTCACCGGCTGGGCCTGTGAGTGAAGGTAACCATATTCTCACCATCTACTCCTCCACCTTCGAGAATACAGACATTAATAACAACTGTCTACTTATTTCTGAAATCTGAAGGTAAATGAATCCGTAAGAAGGGCTGTTGGAGAAAGTCCCTCATGTGGATATTCTTTCTGGGAACTCAGAACTATCACCCCCGCAGACAGGGCTAATGACCAGCTCTATGCTAAAATAAGATTAAATTGAGGTTTCTGTATAAAAAGGATTTTGATCAACATATCAAATTAGGGAGGATGAACCCGTAGATCATCCTTGTATTATTTATTTATATGCATTTTATTCAACTCAGAGAAAGCTGCTGAAACTCCAAATACCTGTCCCCAGATCACTGTGACAGTTTTGGCTGGTGCAGGGTAGTATGTAAGAATATTTATCACAGTTGAGTGTAAGCTAATTACAGCAACGTAATCTGGGAAAAGCCATTTAGTCTCATAATGGAAAGGGTCAGAGCATCTCCAAAAAATGCATGAGTCAGATCTTGCTTAATTTGAAGGACAACTCAGGAGGGTGGGGCCGTGAGCATGAATCCCACAGAACTCCCCAGAAGGCTGTAGTTTCTACAGCCGCCATGAGACATGAGGGGGAAAGTGTCCTGAAACAATTCAGAGAAGAGCCACCCATTTCTCATGTGAAGTTACAGCCACAAGCTGTAGAGACCAGGAAGAACTCACACTGATTAAGGGAGCAGCTTACATCCACTGCCTGACTTGAGAACGCTCTGGTGGGTTCTAGCAGGGACCATGGCCCCAGAACATTCATTACCTTTGCCACTTCACAGCACGACTTTCTTGAAAATCATCAAAGAGAAGCCGCTCTGCAATTAGACAAAGATTTTACATTAAAGTCACTTTGCGAGCCCAATTCTTTCTGGTTTCCAGTTTAAGACAGCCACGATTTATTACCAATCCAAGCTTTAGAACATGAATAAGAAGTTTAAATTTCAAAACAAGCCTTGTCTATCCAGGGCCCTCGTCCCCGCCCCCCCTACCCCCGCCTTCTCTTTCGCCATATTAAGAAGAAACAACAAAGCCTGACGGCTTCCTGTGTGTGCTGTGCGTCTCTTATAACAACCAGAAGACTGGTGTGGAGGGGCAGGCGTACACAGCAGGTGTCTGACCTCGTGTACACGATCCTAGATCTGGGCAGCTGCCCACCAAAATGAGATGCCATCAATATAAGCTGTACACCATGGATTAAAGACAGGTTTTTAGGGGTTAAAAAGAAACGATTGTGCATAAAGCGCATACATAGGCTTTACTGATAATAACAGGTAACACATATCTCTCAGGTGCTCGGCGCCCAAATTCTATGCAGAGTACATACAATGATTCATTTAATTCTCACAATCACCCCCATGAAGCAAGAACTAAGGTTATTATGCCCATTTTACAGATAAGTAAACTGAGGCACAAAGAGGTTAGGTAGAGTGTCCAAAGTCACCGATACGTGTGTCAGTGGTAGCACTGGGATTCAGACCCAGGCAGTCTGGCACCCGGGTCTGTGTTCTTAACCACCATGATACACTGATTTTAAGATACTGCTGATTTCAGAAATACTGAAAAGTAAATATATACCTACATATATAGAGATGTGTACGTCTCTAAATTAAAATATATTCATCCTGTTCAGTGCCAAAAGGCATATCACATGTGCCTTTCCTGCTCTTTTGTGATAAGAACGAGGCACACACTTGTACTTTCACTCTTTGGTTTAGCAAACGGTTGGTGAGGGCCTGCCCTGGCCAGACAGCCAGCGCTGAGCGGAACACAGGCCACAAAAGGGCCGTCAGGTACAGCTACGCGGCTCGGCACAGCTCAGTCCTCGCAGGTGCCACTTGCAGGCGACACATCCCAGATTCCGACGTATTAAGACAGTTTTCCAACAGCTGGAAGTTCTAGAAAGGGACTTGAAGAAGGGCAGGTGCCTGTTCCTAATTTGCACAAAGGCGTGGCCGGCTCCGCCTGGAGGGGGTCCGCAAAGGCTTCACAGAGGAAATCAACTCAGCAGAGAGAGCAGAGCTGAAGGGACACAGGCGCCATGTCGGGGGAGGGCCGAGCACAGGCCGGCAGCAGCGATGACGGCTGAGGCCCCGGGGAGCCCTGGCTGCGGGACGGGGGTCTGGGGACGGAGGCGGCTCCTGCGGAGGAGCCACCCTGGGCTGCTGGGCTCTACCCCACAGGGGGGCCGCGGAGCAGCAGTGCGGCAGGAGAGAGTGTATCGGAAAGGCAGTTCCTTAAAATATTTTGTCACTAATTTGCATACCAGCTCATCGTAAAAAGGACGATGGGGCTAACATGGAGGCGAATTTTAGAAGAGAAGAAGGCAATGAATGAGGAGTGAAGCCAGAGGGAAAATAATTTTAAGAAAAGGAATACAGCTGGGGTAACATTAGTGCACAAAATTACGCCCTCTGGTGCACTAGACATTTCTTCAAGGCAGCCGCTCTCCGCTCGGCGGAAAGGGAAGTCGAGCGGCCACAAGGCCCATGCCCAGGGGCGGCGGGACGCAGCAGCTGAGGAGGAACGGTCCCTAACAACACACAAAGCCCACGCGTGCTCAGCAATGGCGTGTCCGAAGTGCCCAGCACTGCACACGTCCCTAGGCTTGTTTTTCAAAGTTCACAAGTTCCGGGGCGCCTGGGTGGCTCATTCGGTTAAGCGTCCGACTTCGGCTCAGGCCATGATCTCATGGTTGGTGGGCTGGAGCCCCGCGTCGGGCTCTGTGCTGACAGCTCAGAGCCTGGAGCCTGCTTTGGATTCTGTGTCTCCCTCTCTCTCTGCCTCTCCCCTGCTCATAGTGTCTCTCTCTCTCTCTCTCTCTCAGAAATAAATAAAATACATTAAAAATTTAAAAAAAAAAGTTCACAACTTTCAAATCACTACTTTTTGGATAACAGCCCCTCATGAAAGCCACAAATCAAGAGTCCGAGCAGAAACAAGCAGTCCTACAAGTGGCCCACACACTGGGGCCTAAATGGGAAGCTCTGACGGGCCACCTTGACTCAAAGGAGAACTAAGGCAGCCGTGACGACCAAGTCTGCGGGGAGCCCCTCACATGTGACAGTGAGGTGAGGGATCTGGGGGTGAGGTGGGGAGAGGAGAACGAAGACTCGGCCTCTACCCCTTTTTAATCAGCTTCAGTTCACCTACCTCACCCACTGCCTTGAAGACCGTGGTCACCAGCCCCCAACTCGCACACCACAAAGTCAAAAAGGCGTGGATTTGAGGCTGCCTCCAGGAATGCTATATTGTAGAACTAAGCTTTTGATCACTGAAAATGTGTTAATCTGATGTGAAAATCTGCAAGAAACTCAAAATCAGTTAGCCTAATACGCAGCCAATTAGGGGAAGTTTTTTTGCTTTTCAGTTAACTAAGAGGCAAGGGTTGTGACACATCTTGAAAATGAAGCTGGTTAGCCACACGAAGGTGGAACAGAGTACAGGCAGTAGCTCTGCTCTGACACAGGAAGGGTGACAGAGGGCCCCAAAGGCTAATGGCTTACAATCTCTTCTCAAAGGAGTGAGTGCCTTTCCAGAGTCAAAGGGCAATCTGTGAAACAGGGCTGAGGGCCATCCTGTCGCCTCCCTCCAAGCCCCCAACCAGATGGAGGAGATCTGCAGGAATATCATCGGGGAGATAAACAGAATCAGCTAGAGAGAGGGTTCAAGCCACAGACACGATCTGACCAGGGAGAGATGGAAGCAATCTGGTGGTACGATCTCAAACTGGGCTGCACATCGGACTCCTCTGAGGAGCTTAAAAAAATTTTTTTGGGGGGCGCCTGGGTGGCTTAGTCGGTTAAGCGTCCGACTTTCGCTTAGGTCATGTTCTCACGGTTCGTGGGTTCGGGCCCCGCGTCGGGCTCTGTGCTGACTGCCAGCTCAGAGCCTGGAGACTGTTTCAGTCTGTGACTCCCTCTCTCTCTGACCCTCCCCTGCTCACGCTGTCTCTCTCTCTCTCTCTCCTAGAAATAAATAAAACATTAAAAAAATTTGTTTTTGATGTCCAGGCC